TGGGATTTTCTCCAGCTCCCAACACTATAGCTCCTATGACTGTAAGATTATTTAACTTTTCTTTGATCTTATGATATGTTATCAAGGCCACCGAGGACTACAGAAGAAGCCACTTTTTTATCTGCCTAGGGTTACACTGGTGCTCTTTAACATTTTCAACCTGACTTTTCAGTTTTGAGTAGAAGGACACAGGACCTCATCTGCACCTTTGCCAGGTCGCTGCTATTTGAAAATGTGACCAGAGGTCCACAGATAATCCCTTTACCCAATCTTGCCTTCAGGGCACTGTACATCATTCGCAATCATGTTTAACCACTAAACTCGTCAGCCTAAAGCGCTGGAAATTCACTGATGAGGTTGTTGCTGAGGTAAGGTACTGGCAGAGCACCTGCTAAGAGAAAAAACACCATGTGTTCTCTGTGATTGTTTGGCAAAGGTGTGTGTGTGTGTGTTTTTTTTTTTCTAACTGCAGTAAAATCTAATTTGTCAGGAGCTGTGGAGATTGGATTGAGTTGATAAAGTGACTTAATTTACAAGAGTTGACTTTTTTCTATCTAACCTTTAAATAAAATCAGGTGGACAAAGATTTGATTTTTGTTTAAAGGCACTACACTTTAATCAGTCATTCTTAAGGGAACTTATTTTGTGATTTAGAATGAACATAGAGGTACATTAAAACTATGTACATTGCGTTCATTCAAATAAATTGTTATATATTAAACCATAAATACACTGCTAAAAAAAATAAAGTGAACATGCAAATAACATCTCCAAGATCTGAATCAATGAAATACTCTCAGTGAGTACTTTGTTGTGTACAAAGTTGAATGTGCTGACAACAAAAATCGAACTAAAGCCATAAATATAAAAAATAAAAAATAAAATTTATTAACCAATGGAGGCCTGGATTTGGAGCCACACACAAAAATATAAGGGAAAAACACACTACAGGCTGACCCAACTTTGATGTAATGTCCACAAAACGTGTCAAAATGAGGCTGTGTTGTATGTGGTGCAACGTGATGTTGGAGGATGAATCAAGACATGATGTCCCGGATTTGCTCATTCGGATTCAGGTCTGAGGAATGGCCAGGCCAGTCCATAGCTTCAATTGCCCCATTTACACAAGCCCTTTGAAACCAATCCATGCAGAGTTCAGAAAGAGTTTGGATCACTTAATAAGCTGAAAAGAAGTTTGTGTTGTGAACAGGTGAAGAGATCTGTGAATTACAAAGCCGGACATACTGGAAAACCAGCAAAATGAGTCAGCTGACTGTAAATTGGAGATGAGGAGGTCTGCTTATGAGCTCTTCGTTATCAGTGAACCGAGCCAAAGATAAACCATGCCGAGCCCAACTGCTGAACTAGTACTAGATTTAGCATGGTTTGGCTGTGTCTATCTCGGTTACCGAGCTTAGACCATTGTCTGCACAGTTTCAAAAGGCTAGTGTAAATGAGGAAAATGCCTTCATCTAGCAGGAATTGGTTACACACTCCAGCCACATGAGGTCTAGCATTGTCCTTCATTGGGAAGAACCCAGGACCAACTGCATCAGCATGTGGTCTTACAAGGGGTCTGAGGTTCTTATCTCAGTACTTAATGGCAATCAGTCTACCTAGGGTGAGCACATAGAGGGCTGTGCGGCCCTCCGAAGAAATGCCAAAACACAATATTACTAACCCAATGCCAAATCGCTCATACTGAAAGATGTTGCAGGCAGCAAGTTGCTCTCCACGGTGTCTCCAGAATGTCTCAGTGCGCACATGTACTCAGTGTGAACATACTTTCATCTGTGAAGAACAAATGGCGCCAGTGACGAATTTGTCAATCCTTGTGTTCTCTAACAACTACCAAGTGTCCTGTGATTTACTGTTACGCTGACACGGTCATCATGGTGGGGGATTTTAACATCAATACTGACATTAAAGGTGATAGCTTAAATGCACCCTTTAATGTTATCTTAGACTAAATTGGCTTTGTTCAAAATGTGAATAGGCCCAAACATTCTCATCTTCATACTTTGGGCCCTGTACAGACATACAGTATGTCATGGAATGCGAAGGAATTACAGTAATTCCATACAACCCTTTCCCCTCTAACCAATTTTAAATAACCTCCAAAATTACATTATCAGAGTTCTCCTCCTCCAAAAGAAGCCTTCACTTAGGCAGATAATTATCAGATAATGTATTTATAAATTTTAAAGAATCTGATCCACATTCTATCTCTACTGTATCACAGAACAACAATGCAGATGGCAACTATTTAGTTTATTTCCCTTCACAAATTGTGGATTTTGTTGGTGGGGTTATTAGTGTCCTATGTACTACATTAGAAACGTGGTCTCCTTGAAAGTGAAAAACTGGAAAGCTGGCTCCCTGGTTTACTATTGTAATTCTTTACTATCAGGAAGTCCACATAATATAGTTAAAAGCCTTCAGCTGGTCAAAAATGCTGCAGTCAGAGTTCTAATGAAATTTAAAATAAGAGATCATATTTACCTTATCCTAACTTCCCTTCATTGGCCTCCTGTTAAACCCAGAGAAGAATTCAAAATCCTCCTTCTCACATATAAAGCCTTAAATGGCCAATCTCCACCTTACATCAGAGATATGATTGTTACTTATGTTCCTAACAGAGCACTTCACTCTCAATCTGTTGGGTTACTAGGGGTTCCTAGAGTCCACTCCACGTCTCAATATTGTCCTGGCCTGTCTCCTGGTAGCACCTCCGCATTTGGACACTAAGCTGACAGACACAGCAAAACGTCTTGCCACAGCTTGCATTGATGTGCCATCCTGGATGAACTACACTACCTGAGCCACGTATGTGGGTTGTTGTGGAGTCATGCTACCATGAATATGGGAGAATCGCCAACATTCAAAAGTGACCAAAAACATCACTGTAGCCTTCTCCATCAACTCCCAATGCTACCACCTCCAGAAGTTCTCTTATGACTTTCCCATAGTTGGCCTCATCACAGGTGGGGACGATTCAGAGTAAGACAGTGGACTCAGGACTTTGTGGAATGGTACCAGCAGAACCACCTCCTGATTAATGCAGAAAAAACTTCTGCTTCTGGACTTCCGCAGAAGCAGATCCACCCATTGAGACCAGTGAATTTACTTTAGATAAGGGACCCTTGTAAGTACCTAGATATTCACCTGAACAATAAATTGGAAGGGACTCGCAACACAGAGGCTCTCTATAAAAACAGTCAGAGAAGACTGTTCCTGCTGAGGAGACAGATGTCTTGTGGAGTGCAGTGGGCACTCCTGAAGACCTTCTCTGACTGTGTTGTGGCATCAGCCATCTTCTATGGAGCTGTCTGTTGGAGCAGTGACTTATCTGTAGCTGACAGGAAACAGCTGGATAAGCCCATCAGGAAGGCTAGCTCTGTGATTGGATGCCCCCTGGACTCAGTGCACGAGGTAAAAATCAAAGGGACCCTAACTAAAGTAATATCTCTGTTTGATAATGTGTAACACCCCATGCATGAAGCTGTTGCTGAACTGGAAGGCTCCTTCAGTGACAGACTGCTGCACCCTAAATGCACCAGGTACCGTTATCACAGATCATTCCTCTCAGCAACAACCTCAGTAAGTTGTTACGCTCATGCTGAGTTTTGCACAGTTTCTGCCTTGGTCA